AAATTTACAAACTGGAGACACTGAAATCAAATGAGTAAAACAATTTACATATCTGGGAAGTGTTTTAACAGAGGGCAGAAAGTGCAACAATGAAATTGAAATGTGCATTGGAACAGCAAGATGCCATCCCAAAGCTAAGTAAAGTATTAAGAAATAGAAAAATTTCATTAGATACAAAGAAAAGAGTGCTGAACTGTTACATAATATCAGTCCTCCTATATGGCAGTGAATGCTGGACAATTTGATCACAAATGAAGACGTCATCACATCTAAAAGAACTTCTACAGAAGGTAATAAAGAAAAGCCAGAAGAAAGGACTAATCAAAAATTGTAAGATAGAATGTATGGCCATCAGCAAAAGGAACAACTGAAGATGCAATCTACGAACTGAAGAGACCAAAATCAAGCAAGTACAAAAATTTAAATGAATAAATATGTTTTGATGGAAAATGTAACATTGAAATCCAAAGACAGATCGGAATAGCAAAAGATGACTTCCAAAAGATAAACAAAGTATTAAGAAACAGGAAAATTTCATTAGAAACAAAAATGGAGTAGTGAGCTGTCATGTAATATCAACAGTGAATGCTGGACAATGTCGTCTCAAATGAAGAAGAGACTTGAAGTAACAGAAACATAGTTCTACAGAAGGATACTGAGAATACCATGGATCGAACATGTGAGCAATGACAAAGTTTTAGAGAAAATGGAAACAAAAAGGACACTTATACTTAACATCAGGGAGAGATAGTTGAAATTTCTAGAGCACATAATGAGGAAAGAGGGCTTGGAAAAATTGATGCTCACAGGACAGGTTGAAGGTAAGAGGGAGAAAAGAAATCAATACATAACCTAACTAGCAAGCTTGAGTAAAGAGTTGGCAGAACAGGGTTTAGGAGAGATAACAAAAAGACAAAATTTATTAAGACCTACAGAGAACAAGAAACTGTGGAGAGTCCTGATCACCAAAATCCTGAAGGAACACAACACATAGAAGACGAAGAAGAATAATTAATTATTAGGAAAATTAATGACAAAGTGGAAAAATCTTTTTTGTGACACATTTCATTTGGATTAAAGTGATATTTATGGAAATGAAAAGGATACCTATGTTTAGTATGAGAAAGAAATAATTGAAATTTCTAACGCACATAATGAGGAAAGAGGGCTTGGAAAATTTGACAGTCACGGGACATATTGAAGGTTGGAAGGATAGAGGAAAATGGTACATAATCTACCAAACAAGCTTGTGTAAATGGATGGTAGAACAGGGCTTAAGCGAGATAATAAAAAAAAAAATTACTAAGCGCTACAAAGGACAGGAAATTGTAAAGAGCTATGATTGCTGACATCTTGAAGATACATGGCACATAAATGAAGTAGAACTAGCCATGTGCACAAAGAGAAACAGAAACTGAAATTTTAAACTTTTAAATTAATCTTTTTTCTTTTTATATGTATTTCAGTAAATAGTCTAGTTAATTTCATTTAGTTTCTTTTTTTTAATGTTTTTATCAATTTTATAATAATTTAAAAAAATACTACTTTGATTAAAGATTATCAATTTACTAAGACAAAAATGTATAGAAAGTGCCTTAATTGCTAGATCGTCCATGGTAAATTTGCATCCAGCTTCTTACAACATTTCACCTTTCTTAGCAGATTTTCTGTTATCACAATGTTGGATACTTAATAGAAAAGGAAACTAAAATAAATTAGTTAGACTATATACCAAAACACACATTAAAAATAAAAAACTTAAATTTAAAATTTCAGTGTCCCCTTCTTTTTGTATGCATGCATACTGATATCAATGTAAACATCACTTTATTGTGTATTAAAGTAGATTTACTTTTTATTTTCCTTATATGTTATCACAAAAATATCTAACCAAGATAAATAAAAAAACAAAACTAATGGACCTAACCCCCACCCCACAAAAAATGCTGTAGAAAGTTAAAATTAAATAGGTAAATAGAAACAGCAGAAAAGTTAAACCTAATTTTTATTGGTTAAAAAATAAAGAATCAAGCCAATAAAATGCTCAGGCCAAAGTTTGGGAAGTAATCAGATGGACAGGATGATGGCTGGAAGGTGATTCTTCCTAGCTGAGTCACCTGGTTGAGGAGTTCTGATGTTTTTAGAAACCTGAGACTACCAATGACACTGCTAATAAACATCACTGATGAAGCTTCCCAGTGCACTGTTTTGGATTATGATCAGGCAAATAAAAATTTTCATTACTGGAATACGAAAACCTCAAAAAACCTCTTCTCCTTTGCTTTTACCAGCAACACCATAATCCGAGTAAGGACTCAAATGAGTAACATGGAAACAAATTCTAATAAGTGTGGTGTGTGTTCACATGTAAACGAAGAAGATGCACACAAAAACTTTCTCTTGGATATGTTCATTTTCTTTTTGGTACAGAAAAGCAAGTAAGTATAAGCATTATATTAATGATTGAATTCAAGTCAGCCTTGCACTGAGTTAGAACAACCAAAGATAAACTTGATTACTACATAGGTGGAGGTTTTGGAAGCTACGTGCAAATTCTGTGCATTGTAAAGCAGAAAGAGAGAGTCAATACTCAGTGGACCATGTAAACTAACAAGCACCAGCAGGACCGTCCATTTTCCATGTACTGCTACATCTTGGAGCAAAGAGAAAAATGATCCTGAGAGAGGAAATGTTTGCATTTTTATAGACTTAACCAGTGCCACCTAAGTGTATTTAACAAAGCCAAGTGGGGTAATCATATTTACGATTCCTTTACTACTAGCATCATGAGAAGATGTATTTCTTTTTCTTTCTTTTTATAATTCACCATTATTACTTTATTTATTGATTTTATTTCATTTCCCCCCCCACATAATGTTAGCTAATACCAAATTTAAGTAGACTTTTTTGTTTATCAAATTTATTCTTCAAAAAAGAAAAAAGTACACATATTTTATTCAATTATATATTCACTATTATTTGCAATAAATTCATACCACTTATCAGGCAGCACTTTGATAACTTTTGATTAAAATGCCACAGGTTTTGATGTGGAAAAGTTTTTTGGCAATGATTAATTTTCATCAGTCAAGAGGACAGTTATTCCTTTGACACTTATTACTGTGTATATAGTTTGAATAACATTTAAGGGCAAAATGGAATCCACCAATCTGATTGGCCAAAAATACAAAAAAAATTAAACAAATCCCAGTTGGTCAGAATTCCTACATTGGATTGAATAAAAGTATCTCATTTGAGTAGGCAAATATTGTTACAATTCTTGCAATCGCATGAAAGCTATGTCAGAATGCTAGTCAAGAAATGATCGTTTTCAGCTGGCACCTTGGGAAAGGAAGTCTGATGTCATAGAGGCCTGAAAGTTTGTATGACCCCAGAATAGACATCACTGAGGAAGCAATCTGGTGCACAATATATATGTATAAAATAAATACTATAACTGTATAATCTTTTGATTATGAAATCAGTATGATTATCATGGAAACAATACATATAGTTATAATAATGATAATAGCAATACACCAGGCATGGCTCTTGATCATAATTAACTGGAAGTATTAACATGTTCATATTTTTCTTGGTTAATTAAGATGGGTTACAGTAAAATATCCTGTTCAATATCACAAGCTTCCTGTCCATAATTAAATGGGCATGACCCTAGGGGCTGAGAAACTGTGTATCTATGTTTATGAGTGGGAATAGTGGGGGGAACATTATGGCCAAGTGTCAAGAGGGTTTTATATTTTTAAGCTTGAATGATGAGGCAGCCATAGCAACTTAGGAATCACATCCTGATACTTAGGAACATCCTCAATTGGTGATTATCTGAGTAGACTGAATTCTGATGCCCCCCTGCAAAGTTATGCTGCTTTAAAAAAAACTGTCACCATATAGCACATATTTGGCTGTGATACATGAGCCCGGTATACACCTATCAGACTAGGTGTCATGATGGGTACATTGGGTTTCATATATTTGTATCCTAACATCACTTTATGAAACTCAAGAAGAAATAAAAAAAAATTCTGGTGCATCATCTCTCCAGGAAATCCAGAAAATAGTTCTAACAAGCACAGCCAATATCCATCAAAGAACTTTGTTCATTTAAGGGATTTTTTATAGCTGTCTTTTGTTTGACATTTAGCACTCTGCATCATTTATAAATATTAATTCCCCTTTTATTGTATATGGAATCCCCTCAAAATATAATGTTTTATATGTTAGTTCTATATATTTGAAAGTGCAGTAGCCTGGCTCTCAATTTCAGTCTAGATTGCTTTAGATGTTGCCATAAAAAGATATGATAATACAACCAAGAAATTCAAATTCAATTTGCATTGGCAGGACTAACATTTTGCTTGACAATAAAAGTCACCTACAAAGTACTAAAGGTTAGTAGAAAATACTGGTTTTGAATTCAGAGTTGTCCTATAACAAGAGTTACCTTATGAGACGAGTAGTCCTATCAATGTTAAAGAGACTAATCAGTATCCTTATTTCACCCATAGTTCTTTATCTCTGGGTATATTGGATTATTTTTGGACTCTGTTCCCCCATATATGTGAGACACCATGTTAAAAAGGACTTGTGCTCCATTCAGAATAAGTGAGTGTTCTTTTAAATATATATTCCATTTCGAGTCTAGGGAGAACTTTAGTCCCAATAGGTGTTTAAAGCAAGAAACACCATTAAAACCATTCATCATGAGTAGAAGAAAATACAAATTCTTCAGATTTCTGCTGAGAAGCAATTAAGAATCATAAATGAAAACTGTCAATAATCATCTTTTGCTTAAAATAAAAATTAAAATCTCTTACAAGTGAATGATATACTTTTTTAATTCATACTTTGTCTTCTGACAAAATATAAACGTGTTTGTGTGTGTGCAAATGATACAGATATCAAGAAAAAACTTGAAGAAATAAAAAAAACAAATTTAACAGCACAATATTAAGTGTATAATAGTTACATTTTGTACTCACTTGGTTCCTCTCGACTGTGTCCAGATCCACCCCTGCTCCAGCCATCATCCCTCTTACTGTGACAGTCAGGGGTCATGAATTGTTTGCGCTCAGTATCTTTACCACGAGATTTGCCAGCAATTTCCTGGAAACATAAACCAAAAGAAAAATGTCAGGTGTCTCTATGAAAACCATGCATTTCATTCATATATATATATATATATATTTATGTTTCCATAAAAAAAATTATGGAAATGTGCTGTTGCATCAACATAAACTTAGCCTGATGAAGACTTGAAAGATGAAATGTCTTACAAGAACACTTTTTCAACTTTGTCATACATTTTTCTCCATCACAGATATTTATATACTGGCATTGCTTATATATATATATATATATATATATATATATATATATATATATATATATATTTATTAAAGACATATTTTATGTTTAACGTTGTTATTTTATAGATACAAGTATTTAAGCAAATGCTCTGTTTATGATAAACAGTATTAAATAACATTTACCGGCCTGAATGTCAAGAAATTTTCATAGAAAATTTTTGTTCTTTGACAGGATTCGAACCTGCATCCTATCTGGAACCATCATATACGCTGACGTGCCTTACCGCTTAGGCTACAAAAGAAGCGTTTGGTAGACAAAATTCAATTTACTGCTTATAAACTCCAATTTTCCATGAATCTCGTACATTCATAACTGCTCTGGCGTATCGAATGTAAACAAATGACGTCATATATTAAGAAATGGACAAGGTCCGACAATTTATTAAACATATTTTCTATGAAAATTTCTCGGACATTCAGGCCGGTAAATGTTATTTAATACTGTTTATCATAAACAGAGCATTTGCTTAAATACTTGTATCTATAAAATAACAATGTTAAACATAAAATATGTCTTTAATAAATAAATTGTCGGACCTTGTCCATTTCTTAATATAATGCAGGAAAAGTTTGAAGAATTAACTTTGTAGTGATATGGAAAACATCCTTCTGGGAATTTATTCCACAAAGCAGCAGTTCTTGGGAAGAAAATGCTCCAGTGGAACTTACAAAGGAATACAAAGGGAATGGCGATGATTCACGCTTGCGACATAGCATGGCAGGTCACCATTGTAAAGGTCATGGGTGGTGGGACTAAGGACTGTAGCTTGTCAGAACACATGCCATGGAAATAGTGAGAGAATAGCAATATTTCATTTGTGGGGAAAAGGGTTGTAGGGTGGAAAATAATTCATCACCCACAAGGCCAGGTATATGCTTTTGAATTCTAGCGAGACAGATTTATGAAATATTAGTAGTATAGGTGTATTTGAGTGGGTGGGTGTTAACAATTGTTACTATTTGGTTGTGAAATTAATGAAATCTTTGCCTTCTAACTTTTTTGTCTTATTTGTAAGTGTTTTATGTTTACCATATAACCACCACCTTATCTTGTAAACTATATTGCTGCTGGTCTAGTTAAAACACTATTTTTGCTTATATTGAAGATTATAGATTTCTATTAATGTTTCTCTTACTAATATGGTCCAAATACTTTTTGATACATATGCACTACAGTTCAAAAGTTTAAAGACCCCCCCCTCCCAGAATTAACATGGGATGAACTTGAAAGAAAAGTGAAAAAAAAATGAAAAACAGATCTTAGAGTTATTGACAAAGGAATGGAACCAGTTATCAAACTTTTGAGAAACTTTTGCAATGAATGCCAAAAATTTGTGCTGCAATAATCAAAGTTAAAGGAGGATATTTAGATGAGAGCAAAATTTAATCATAAAATACTTTTTTTTTTTGTCATAATAAAATTTCTAATAAAATATGCCACACTTTTTTTAATCATGTATAATAATTTTCTCTTATTTAAAGTTAAAAACAACTACTTTTTAGGCTAATTTAAAAAATTACCAGGGTGGCATCAAACTTCTGAAGAGTAGTGGATATTATATATATATATATATATATATATATATATATATATATATATATATATATATATATATATCATATGTGGTGCAGTTCAATTTATATTACAATGAATCATTCATACAAAAAGTAGATTAGTAAAGTTAATGATATAAAATGGCGAAAACTTTTCGCAAACAAAATTTTAAAGTTGCATTAATCTACGAACCACTCAATGAATGTTATGATCCTTGTTTTTAATAACTACAAGCTGTATAAGGCCTTTTTTTAATCTGTAAGTACTTTCAACTGTACATACAGTCATCCTCAGGCATGTAAATTATTTTTTTTAGTAAATCAAGGTAGCATCAGAGACGAAAGATTAAATGCGAATTGAAATATGTTTTTTTTTAGAAATGTGTTATTGTTAACGGATAAAAACTTTTTGAGCATGCAGTCGTAATGCTTAGGTTGAATTTTTTTGAAAATTTAAGAGAGTGTGTTTTTTTACTGTAGCTTTTTTTTTAAAAATAAAGTGTTTCAAAATAAGGGAGCTGACTGAAAATTGGTAGAAATGTAAAATGGCATTAAACACTCTTTGCTCTTTAATATATTGCTGCTATATTTGTAATAAATTTTGTTTAATGTTGGTTGATTTTGATACAGAGGACCTCAAGAATTTGAAGGATTTTAATAAAAATAATAGAAACTCAATATGAATCTTCTACAAATCAACACATTCAATGCATTAGTTGCCCACTGTAATGAGCCTGAGATTTAAAAAAATGTTACTTTAATTAAAGGAGAAAGCAATTAACTATGATGAAAATGTATAGAAAATGCTTTAACTACTAGATCAACCACAGTAAATTTACTTTCATCTTCTTACATTTCACCTTTTTCTCGGCAGATCTATTATCCACAATACAGGATATTTAATAACAAAACTGATAAGAACAAAAAGAAAAAGAAAATAAAAGAAATCGTCTAGACTATATATCCAAATCACATGAAAAGAATTTTTTATTTATTTTTAAAATTTGCAGCGTCCTCTCTCCATCAAGCCCATATGTAAATTATAGATATCACTTTTTTAGTCCAATAAAGACCTAAAGGATGAAAAATTACTCATAGATTTCCATTATATATATATATATATATATATATATAAAATATAATACACTATTAAACAAAACATGTACAGGATATATACATATATAATGAAATGGACTAAGTTCAACATTTATTTTAATATATTTTCTATTCATATGTTATTTTTTAAATAACGTATAAACAGAAAATATATATATATATATATATATATATATATATATATATATATATATATATATATATATATATATATATATATATGAGTAGTAGTATAGATCTGTAAGACCAACCAACTGGCGAAATTAAATATTTCACTCAGTTTTAAGTGTTACCAAGAAAGATAACTGCGTATTTCCTTTCGTATTTTATGAGATTTGTCGACTTTATCGTATGGTGTCCATCTATGGTTATCCCCCTTAGATTGTGAACTTGTTAATATCTCGAAGAATATTTTTTAAATATTTACCGATTTTAGAATCAAATCTTTCTGGCTTATTAATAAAAAAAATAACGAATTTTACTCATATATCGATTAGTTTACTTTTATAAATACAATATTGGCTGAATAAAAATTCATGAAATGTCATATTTTGTAAGTGATGAATTTTGAAGGCAAATGAAAATGCAGTTACACGATTATCACACACGCATACATAATGTCGGTGCCGTAAAGATTTGCTAAAAACATAATCATATATGATGAAAAGATAACCAAAACTTGTCAAAAATTTTGAGTTATTATTAGGAGGAAAGACCAATGCATTTTTTAATGTAAAAATTAATTTTAGAACCTTCACAATTTTGGTTAAAACAAAAACTTTTTCTTCTGGTGTCAAATGTATAGGAAATGTGAATAAAAATTCTGATAGTTGTCAGATTTTAATGTAATTTTCAGGACTGATTAACAAATAAATTAAATTATTTTAGACATGTTTTTTTTTTTTTTTTAAATTTTAGTAAAAATAAGTTTTTAACATCCGTTACTCAAACACCACATACATTTATTTAATTTTATGAAATTTTGAGAAATTCTTTTTTGTAGTGCATAATGCTTATTAGTTATAAGATAAGTCCTCCAAGAATTTAAATCATCAATTTGTTTTGGTCACACAGAGAAAATCTGCTTTGAATTGTAAAATATTTTTATTTTACATGCAATAAAACATTGACATTATTTAATTATAAAAGCTTTTAATTGCTTTTATGAATAAAATATATTATGAACACTATTGTCTTATGAAAAAATTTTTCAGTATCTGTCTATATTTCTGAAAAAAAAATTTTTTCGATGAATAATGAATTTTTACAAGAACTGTTTTCATTTTTTTAAATTTTAATGTGAATAATTTATAAACTTTTGAATCTTTTAAAATTCTGTATTAATTTGAAACTGTCAAGTGTTATTGTTATTAAATAAAAATTGTATTTGTCAATCATATATATGGTAGGTTGATGAGTCAAGAATAGAACTGACTGAAAAGAAAATGCATTGCAGCCCTTAAAAGTAAAGATCAGGCCCATATGTTATTTCACTGATCATTGCAAAAGAAATATCACAATGTGATATACAACTTGGCAGAGAGAGGAACAGGAATCTATTTGGAGTCAGCTGATTTAAAAAATCTACAGATCCCAACAGCTGTAATATGTGCGTGTGTGTTTATATAAAAAAATGGCTCTAAAAAATACATTGTATGGTATCATGAATGTGTGTATATGTTGTGCACATGTGCATATATAGGCATATGCAGATATATAAGAATAGTGGTATGTATGAATGTGTGTGTACATGTATACATATAAAAAAACTATAATATGTATGAGAGTGTATATATGTGTGTGTGTGTGTGTGTATATTGATGGGCATGTATATGTGTATATGCATGTACTAGTATGACAAAAAATGGCTCTAATACATGTATAACTTGAGTGGATGTATGTTGAGTATATATGTGTGTGTTTATATATATATATATATATATATATATATATATATATATATATAAATATTTTCCCAAGAGGATAGAATCCAGGTAGAACTCAATGTCCAGGACAGGGTAAGAATATAATATTAAAGGCTCAAACACTAATATTCCATGGTTATAA